ATTGTGGCTTCAGTGGAGCCGAGAGATGTATCCTTGGGAAACCAACATATTTAGATACAGGTTAAGAAACAGGTGCTCCTGAAAACACAACCTGAGCCCACTCGGAGACATGAGCAGCCTTTGACTATTTGGAGGCCCAAATAGACCTCCAGCAGCAGGGATGGGATGGGGCCCTCTGTGGAGCTTCGAGGGACTCCCCAGGATAGACATGGGCCACAGAGTGTAGGCGGCTCTGTCAAGACAGGAGGTGTTTGGAGAAAATCAAGGACAAAGTGGACAGAGGGACGGAAACACAGAGAGACAGAGATGCAGACACACAGAGAGATGAGACAGAAGGACAGGGACAGAGGGACAGAGAGAGAGACAGAGATGCAGACACACAGAGAGACAAGACAGAAGGACAGGGGACAGAGGGACAGGGGATAAGGGACAGAGGGACTGATTCTTCCCCCAACTCTTTGTTCCCTCTTCTTCGTTTGCAATGAGCTAAGCCGTCCTCTGAAACTATAAAATAGTTGTCACATATCCTGCAAAACTTTTGTTCCTTAAGTTATGTCAGGGTATAATTTTCTCACATCTCAGTCTTTCCAAAGAATATTTACTCTCCTTAGAAATTTGTTATTACAAGTCCTTTTTGTAGAGACTACTCCCTAGTTGAAAGAGTATTGCTGAAAAATTATATGCTGTCATTGACTGATGACTATCAATTGATGTCATTTGACAATTATAATTCATACTGTATTGCCACTTACAGCTAAGTGTAGTTATTTACTTAGCACTAAATTGTTTTGAAGGTTACTCAGAACAGTATCAATTGATTGTATGGGATGGTATAATGGCATTCAATGGCATAAAATACTACATGCCTTTATCATCCTTGTCATATTTTATTACAACACTTCATTTTCCATTGAAATATGTATGAGAGCAATTTTGCCGCATAAAAGAGAATTTTATATTTTAATAGTATGACTTTCCCTTGAGAGATAACATCATACCTTGGAATGCAGCAGGAGCCCTGCACGATGGCTGTACGTGTGGAGGCAGCGGGTGAAGCCTCGCTCCTGTCATCTGCTCCAAAAACAAGCACGTGACGGGCTGGAGAGCACACGAAGCTTCTCTGCAAACGTTGGTTTCCCACTCGGATTTTCAGCAGCACACGGCCATTGTTAACAAGATGCTAAATGACCTACCCTCAGAGCTGCACCACTCGATGACACAGAAGGAATAGAACATAAGGTTTGATTGAATGGCATTTAGTTATCCGTGCTCGCCACGTTTAAACACCTCAGGCAGGGGTGGAGGGGGCTCCCTCTTCCTTTTTACACTTTGACTTTTTGACTTGGAACCTGATGTGGCTCCATGACAGTCCTGAGTGGCTTCATTCCTGGTGACTGCCTGTGGACGTGCTCCTGCCAGGCTCACCTCAGAGGAAGCAGAGGTCGCTGAGGTGTGCAGTCACTAGAGCTGTGGATGACCTCAGCCCCCAGGGCCCAGAGTACACTTTTGCCAAAATGTGGAGGTAACATGCATGGCCCTGAGCACCAACTGAGAGCAAGACAGAAACCAAGAGCAACCAGCAGGAGTTTGGCCTCTGGATCCAGCCGTGCCTGAAGCCTCCCCTTTTTGAACTGTCCAGTAATGAGAGTTCATTTTGTCCCTTTTTTGCATAAGTGCATTTTGGCTGATTTCCCTCACTTGTAACCAAAGCTTTCTCATGCAGAGATGGTACTGGATGTGGGTCTGTTCACGTCACAGACTTCAAAGAGGAAATGAGCGGAAGTAAGTATCTCCTGGCTGGGGAGGGTTGAAGCTTTGTCATGAGGTAGGAAGGCTCCTGCCAGACCTCACCTGGGCCGGTGGGGATCCTGACAGCTATGCGTTCCCAGAGAAAGGGCAGCTCAGGGGAGTTTGTGGTTTGGAGAGAAATGATGTGTCCAGCTGATGTCAGAGGAGACAAGGATGAATCCACTCCCCGTTAGGTTCCGGGAGTGCACGGCCCACACTCCTGGGTGTGAGCAGGACGGGAGCCTGGAGCCAGGGGCACCATTCACCCCCAGTTAGGTTCCGGGAGTGCACGGCCCACACTCCTGGGTGTGAGCAGGACGGGAGCCTGGAGCCAGGGGTCCTTCCAGTCCATGGCAAGGGGGCTGGGCTTGCTCTGAACAGAGCCGGAGGCCAGACTGGCTTGAATGGGGGAAGAAGAGCCGCGGCCGGGGAAGAGTGGGGTTGGGCGGGGTCGGAGGGCTTCCGAAGGGCTGCAGGGCATCGCTTAGAAAACAAGCGGAACAACAACGCGGGACCCACGGGGAGCAGGCGTTTGTCCCGGCCGTGGAAGTGGGGCGGGGACCCTTACTCAGGTCCGGGAGGCCGAGCGAAGGGGGTCTCTGGCCCCCAAGGCTCCTGACTCGGAGCTGGACGAGGGTCTACGGTTCTGGGGTAGGGTCGGTGCCTCCCACCATTTGTGCAGAGCCAGCGGCCTACGTACGGGACCCAGAAGAAAGCTGCGCCCTTGCTCCTGGCGTGTCCCGGATGGGCCGCCCCGGGCCTGGGCGCCCCAGGGCTTTGCAGCCGACGTGCTTCTCTCCACGGCGCCTGGGGCCTGCCCTGCTCAGCACCACGCCCTGGGTAACGGCGGGGCCTGGGGCGCTGCTGCCGGGAGCAGGCGAGGAGGAAGCCCCTGTTCCCAGGCTCCACCCTCTGGGCCCTGACGGGGGTGGTGCTCCCGGGTGCGGCCGTCCTCTCCTCCGCCTGCGGAGCGGGGCCTCTCTCCGGATGGCCGAAGCGTGTCCCTCAGAACTAAGCTCTCGCCAGGCAGACCTCTGTCCCCATGTCTGTCTATGAACCTGCACTGGGACCCGGGAAGTTAAGAAGCCAAGAGTTCAAAATAAAAGCGGTGAAAACATTTCCTAAACTTAAGAAACTGCACATTTTCTGGAACGCACCGTTAGGACGGGTTTATGAAGGGCAATGTAAAGCGTGTTGCAAAGTCCCCAGAACCTAAAAAGGACCCAGAAAATATTGACTGCATCCTCCTGGATATAATCTATGTGCCTTGCAAGCGCTAACACCGCCTGGCCAGCGAGGATGGCTGCTGGCACATCCTGCGGGCTTCATGGAGATTTACTCCCATAGAAAAGACACACATACCTAAAAGCACTATCACCAGCAGAGTTAATCACCTGTTGGACACACAACGCTGCCGCACACGCCAGATCCGGAGCCGCCTCCAGGTCTGCGGAGCCTGGCGGGGTCAGAGGCATCCATCTCTTCAAATGAGCTTTCTCATAATTGAACAGCCTTCAGCCTATGAACGATAATTTAGTTTTTGTAAAGGATAAAAGACGTATCTTTTTATAAATTTGTTGAAACGTAAAGTTTACTTTTTTCTCATTCCCCTCTTTTCCTTCCATCTCTTCTTGATTATTATTTTTTGAGGTTACTTTAATCCAGGATTAAATACAGTAATTAGAAAATAACATGCATTAAATCTTACAGAATATTAGGGAAAATAGTCAAAATTAATAAAAGCAGAAAGTCCTCTTTTGTAAAGAAAAAAATGAAGAAACTAATAGTCTAGAAATATGCATATGCATTTAGTGCATAAACATGGAAAATGGAGGGTAATTCCGTGCAAGCTGGACAGCTGTATTTGAATAAGTAATGAAAAAGGGCCAACCTATTTTATTTTAAGGTGAGGATTCAGGGGGACTGGAGGGCTGTGGGCACCTGTGTCTTCCAGAGGCAACCCCTGAATGAGTTTGTTTCCATTTCTTGCAGCAGCCGGCTTAGCTAACCACAAAGTCTGAAAGATGCCTGAAGTTAGTTAAACAGTCCTCACCCATTCAGCCATAATTCACCCAGTTAGGTGACAGGTCCAACCTGAAGGACCTGGAGAGGCTCTCGCAGTCATCACATCTTCTTTTTGGCGAGTTGAGAACTGGCTCCGACTCGGAGGTGTGGGGGGCCCTGCACAGACCCAGGGGAGCTGCTGGGATGGAGCCCACCTCAGGGGTCTGAGACATCGCCTCAGACTCGCCTTTCAGTGGAACATGCTGGGTTGACAGCCTTGTGGTCTGCCTGACTTTGAATCGGGTCTGTTTGGCATATTTCCTTAGAGACCTAGTCTTGAAGAGTTCGATGGTTTGGCTTCAGAAATTGTTTTAGAATATTTTAGAACAGGACAGAGTGATCAAGGGATAAATGCTGGATAGGAAACACTACCATGTAAACGTGGAAACTTTTAAAGAGCTAAAATATTAAAGTACTGAAACAATATGAAGATGTTTGATTTACTTATTTTCACACACACGAGATGTGTGTGTCTGTGAGTATATGTGTATCTATGTGCATTCCTGTGTGTGTGCATCTGGGTGTGCACACCTGTGTGCCTCTAAGCACTGTTCTCGCTGTGGGAAACAGCAGTGAACAATAGTCTTTGCCCTCCTAAAGGGAGAGAGAAATAGGAGAAACAGGTAAGGAGCCTGGTACGAGTCCAGTGATAAACACCGTGGAGGCGAGCGAAGCAGAGGGGCCAGGTTCCTGGGACCCCAGGCAGGGTCCAGCACTGAGGTTTTAAATTTAGGGGATCGGGAGGGTCATTTTGGTCAAACAGGAGGGGAACTGCAGGAGGTGCTGTGCTCTGGACGAGGAGTGAGGCTGGCAGGCCTGGCCGGGGCGTCCAGCTCTGTGGACCTGAAGCTTCCGTGACTGTGGCACTCATTGAGGGATGACAAGCCTTAGAGCCCCAAAGGTGGAGGTGAGTCCGAGACCAGGCTGAGCAAAGCCCCATTGGCCACGAGGCTTCCCAGAGAGCAGGGGGCCTGGAGGACACAGGAGCACGAGGGCAGGAGCGCCGAGAGCGAGAGCGAGGGGCCGTGCCGGCGGGCGAGGATGCGACTGATTGTCTGGGAAGGGAGGCCAGTGCTGGGCGACGGTGTGAACCCGCGTGCCCTTACATTTTGTGGTAGTCATATTTAGAAAAACAAAACAGTAACCAGTGAAATTCCCGCTGCTGATGTATTTTACTAAACTCAGTATATCAGAACAACTATCAATTCACCCTGAAATCAACACAACACATCTTTGGACATTTGAGACTCTATTCCACATACTAAGTCTCTAAAATCCAACTTGAATTTTACGTCTATAGCCCCCCCACCCCATGCAATCCAGGGCAGCATTGGAGTGCCGTGTCCCCAAGTCCACACAGCAGCACAGCAGCCCCCACCCCACATTGAAGTGCTGCGGCCAGTGGCCCCCAGCAGCCCGCGTTGGAGCCTGGGTGCCGACGTCCTGGCAGGAGGAACTGGAGGCACCAAAAGGAAATACCTTCTTCAGTAGGGGAGCGTCCCCTGCCCCACTGCTCTGGGAACAGCTGCAGGCAGGTTTCCTCTCTCCAAGCACTCTCAGACAGTGCTGTGATGAGGCCCATGTCATGGGTATTTGCGGGGACTCTGTCTTCTAGGAAAGGCTCCCAGGTCGTCGTCTCCCTGCCAAGTGTCCTGCACTGTGCAGGTTGCTCTCCTGATCCTCAAATGTGGCCCTGGAGCTTCCCCTGGACCCTGGACAGCCCAGCACGTGGGTGAGCCAATGTGCAGTGCAGGCCGAACACAAAGTGCATCCACAGTGTGGGCCAGTGGTCATCCTGGTCAGGGCCAGCCTGCAGTTACCACTGCCTGGTGAATAAGACATGGAGTTCGGGAGGGCTGGTCACCTGCTCCTGGTCATGTCATGGAACATTCTGGAACTGAGGCTCTATGTCGAGAACCAGTGCCTGCTGGTGTCCCTGTGAACTTGGAGGCCCATCTTCCAGGCCAGTCCTTGGTTCCGGCATGATCATTATGACACTGCCTTTCTTCTTCATAATTTTATAGAAGCTAACTTCATTTTCATTTCTCTAGTATATTTTTAAAAAACGAAAAGCAAAGTAGAAAGAATAATGTAAGACAAATACCATTTGTTTTCTACCCAATAATATTCTAAAATAATTGTAACTCTCTTTTAACAAAATAAAAAACGTGAACTGTTGCAGGCAACCCTTCTGTCACCCTCCACTGTCTTTGCTATTTCTGATCTTTGCCAGAATTGTCTTTTAAAATTTTATTAGTGGTGAAATATGAAAGTTTCCCACCTAAGATCGGAAGCAGCAGAAGGCTGCCTGCGCTCGCAACTGCCGTTCACGATGGTGCTGGGAATCCTAGTCGGCTCACTCAGACAAAAAACATATCACGTTTGGAAAGAAAAGGGTGAGATTATCATTATTCACAGAGGGCATCATCGTCTGTAGAAAATTCTGCATAACATGTAAACCAAAAATAAATTCTGAACCTCTCAACAATCTAAACAGACCCCTCCCCTTGGCCAAGGGCATTCCAGAGTTAACCTGAAAACTAGCTCAGCCCACGATGGGAATGGGGTTGGATGAGCCTCATCATTCCTCTCCCGTTCGAATTCAGGAAAAGCCGACCAGCATTAACATCAACACAGATCTCTTCAGTCTGAGAAGAAACATTTATAGTCTATACTTGGAGGCTTCATTTGCATGATAAAACCTTGGTCTCTACAATCCCCTATCACAACCCAGATGCTCCCTTCTGTTGAAAATAACCAACTGCCAATCAGAAAATCTTTAAATCTTAAATGACCTGGAAGCCCCCACTTAGAGTTGTCCCCGCTTCCAGATGAAACCAACGTACATCTCACATGTGTCTCCCTAAAATGTATAAAACCGAGCTGCCCCTGGGCCCACCTGGGGCACATGTTCTCGGCATCTCCTGAGGCTGCGTCACAGGACATTGGCCACTCTCATTTGGCTCAGAATCAGTCTCTTCAAATACTTTACAGAGTTTGACTCTTTTCATTCACATAAAAAAAAATGACTAGAACTAAAAATGAAGTTACCAAGGCTGAGAATACACAGAACAACTGTTTCTATAAATGTGCAATGAACAATTGAGAATTTATATTTAAATATCATTTATAAAGTCATCAAAGTATGGAACATTTTGAGAAATGTTTGACAAATATTTTTAAGACTTGCAAAATGAAAACTAGAAAATATTGCTGAGTTTTAAAAGACCTAACTAAACAGAGAGGAAAAGCATGTTCATGGACCAGATGACTGGATATTTGGATGATGTCTCTCTCCTTAAATTAATCTATTCAAAGCAATCCCAATCACATCTCAGTAGGTTTTTTGTAGTAATTAACATTAATTTTCAGCTGCTTCTTAAATTCATATAAAATAGCCAACAGGCTGAACAAGACCAGAAGGCTTACCCCATCTGATTTCAAGACTTCCTCTAAAGCAACCACGTTTGGTACTGTGGTATTGGCCTCAGATAGACACTCAGATCAAAGAGACAGAACAGAGCTCGGAAACAGGCCCACAGGTCCCACAGGTGTGGAACTGACTTTTCAGCTGAGATGCCAGTGACTCGTGAGAGCATGCTTGTGTGTGTTTTGTTTTTGCTCCTGGGATATTTCCTTTATTTCCTCTAAGCCTGGAAATGAAAAACACAATCAGGATCTAGTTAATCCATAGCAGGAAGTTTCTTAGAATATCCGGTCTAAAGGTGCAGAAAATCTGCATGTTTACTCATTCCTGAGTGTCTGCAGAGCTCTGGGCGTTCAGCCAGGTGCTTCGCATGCATCTTCCACTGAATCCTCCCAACAACTCTGTGAGGACATTTCTGCAACCAACCCTTTTACAGGAGCCCAGAGACTTGAGCAGCTCGTTCTCCATCACATCCCAAGCCTGTGTCAGAGCAGAGAATTGGTGTCAGGCCTGTGACCTCTCCGTAGCCCCAAATGGACTCATTTCAATGATTGACAAGTTCAAAGAATCCCAGACAGGAGATCAGCTACTAGAATCTCGACAATTAACACCCTCACCTGGGTGCTTCACTTAAATGTTAATAGCCTTGCAGTAAAGCTGTACAGGAAGGCAGGGCAAAATCGAGCCTGCCAAAGGCATAATTTAAAAAAAGACCCCAGGAGATGTGCTTGAGGCTGACAGAATCTTCTGTGCACCCACATCTCCTGTGAGCCCGTCATTTCCTGATCTCCACGGCGTGAAGGGAGGCCTGCTCTTCCTAGATGCTTCAACAAGAGACTGGTGAAGGAAGATTAGGCGTGGAAATGGATCCTGTATCTCAGTGGTCTTGCATATTTGAGTTGAAAACAAAATAAAACAAAAGGAGAAGGCTCCTCTCAGCATCCCCATCTTCCTTTTCTTACCCGGGATGAAGGTTGTGATGGGCATTAACAAGAAAAACGAGGACCCCCCCTTACAGACGCACCCAGGTGGGGGGTGTGGTACCAGGGTGCCATGAGGACCCTCCCCAGACGCACCCAGCTGGGGGTGCAGTACGAAGATGCCACGAGGACCCTCCCCAGACGCACCCAGGTGGGGGTGCAGTACCAGGGTGCGTGGCTCATTCATTTATATTAATCCGTTCAGGGCATTGTACCAGTGCCTTGGCCATACCAGAATTTAGGAGATGATTTTTTCTTGTGAATGAGCCCATCCGTCTTTCAACAGTGATGATACCTTCGTGGAGACAAAAAAAGTGCAAACAAGCCCCCAGCACAAACACACCGGCACGGGAAGGGGGTGACGTCAGGATGACGTCTTCTGTGCATGCAGAGCTTTACAATTTGCTCCATGGAGCTCGAAAATATGTTTTTTCCAAAGAGGATAAGTTTCTCATAATTTCTGCCTGTTATCCAAACATCACTCATTCTATTTGTTTTCAAATGTTTCCCTTACCAGGCGGTTAAGCACCTTATTTAAAGAATGGTCTGCTCCATTTGAGAATCTAGTTTTTACTTCTTAAATGTGTGTGTGTGTGTGTGTGTGTGTGTGTGTGATGGAGTCTCACTCTGTCGCCCAGGCTGTAGTGCGATGGTGGGATTCTGCAACCTCTGCCGCCTGAGTTCAAGCAATTCTCCTGCTTCAGCCTCCTGAAATGCTGAGATTACAGGCTTGCACCACCATGGCCAGCCAATTTTTATTTTGTAATTTTAGTAGAGACAGGGTTTCACCATGCTGATCTCAAACACCTAACCTCAGATGATCCACCTACCTTGGCCTCCCAGAGTGCTGGGATTACATAGGTGTGAGCCACTGAACCCGGCCTCATTTCTTAAATTGTTTAGTTACGATTTTTCTAACACATTCAGCCTCATATGATGTCCTAAGGCAATGTGCACCAGATAATGTATTGATTGGAAAATGTAGTAAAATGTTTTACTATATTTCAGAATAAGTAGATTCACAATGATAAAGTAAAAATATCAGAAATAGTCAATATTTATTTCACTAAACATTTTCTAGGAAATAATATCTTGCAATTTGTGAACCTCAAATGTCTGAGACAGGTCTCAGTCCATTTAGAGAGTTTATTTTAGGCCAGGCGCAGTGGCTCACGCCTGTAATCCCAGCACTTTGGGAGGCCGAGACGGGTGGATCACGAGGTCAGGAGATCGAGACCATCCTGGCTAACACAGTGAAACCCCGTCTCTACTAAAAATACAAAAAAAATTAGCTGGGCGAGGTGACGGGTGCCTGCAGTCCCAGCTACTGGGGAGGCTGAGGCAGGAGAATGGCGTGAACCTGGGAGGCAAAGCTTGCAGTGAGCCGAGATCACGCCACTGCACTCCAGCCGGGGACACACAGCGAGATAAATAAATAAAAAATAAAAAAATTTTAAAAACAGAGTTTATTTTGCTGTGATTGAGGACACGTGCCTGTGACTCAGCCTCAGGAGGTCCTGACGACGTGTGCACAAGGTGGTCAGGGCACAGCTTGATTTTGTACATTTTAGTGAGACAGGAGACATCAATTCATATATGTAAGATGTACATTGGTTCCATCCATAAAGGCAGGAAAACTTGAAGCAGTGAGGGGACTTCCAGGTCACAGGAAGGTAAGAGACAAATGGTTCTATTCTTTCGAGTTTCTGATTGGCCTTTGCAAAGGAAGCAATCAGATACGCATTTATCTCAGTGAGCAGAAGGATGACGTTGAATGGAATGGGAGGCAGGTTTGCCCTGAGCAATTCCCAGCCTGACTTTTCCCTTTAGCTTAGTGATCTTGTGGCCCCCAAATTTATTTTCTGTTCACAAATTGATACTATCGTTGACCAAAAAAAAAACCCCCCCAAACTCTATAAAATATGTGAAGAGGTTTCTTCTGAGCCAATATGAGTGACCATGGCCTGGGCAACAGTCTCAAGAGGTCCTGAGAAAGTGTGGCCAGGCAGTTGGGTCACTGCTTGGTCTTACACATTTTAGGGAGACAGAAGTTACAGGCGAAGACATAAATCAATACATGGAAGGTGTACATTGGTTCGGCCTGAAGATGTGGGACATCTCCAGGTGGGGGCGCTTGCAGGTCGCAGGTGGATACAAAGATTTTCTGATTGGCAGTTGGTTGAAAGAGCTAAGCTTTGTCTAAAGACTTGAAGTCAGTAGAAAGAAAGGCTCCGGTTAAGATAAGGGGGTTGTGGAGACCAGGGTTCTTGTTATGCAGATGAAGCCTCCCAGGCCACAGTCTTCAGAGAGAATAGAAGGTGAATGTCTCTTTTCAGACTTTGAAAGTGTCAGACTCTCCTTTAATCTCCCTTAGATCGGGGGAAGGCCTAGAAAGGAAGGCCTGGCTGCATTAATGGAGATTCTCTACAGATGCAAATTTCCCCCACAAAAGATGGCTTTGCAGGGCCCTCTCAAAATAGGTCAAATAAATATGGTTTGGAGTGAAATATTTTGCTTACCTTCAGGGTCTTCCATCTGTCCTGTGGTGCTAACGTGAGGCTGGAATTTGGTGTCTTACTGCCACGAAGAGTCTGCTCTGTCAGTCTCATGATCTCTTCTTTAACGCTAATGCTGCTCAGCTGTGCCTAAATCCAAAAAGGAGGAAGGATGAGGAAGGATGACTAAGGCGACGTGTCCGACCCGCCTTCCTATTGTGACTGGGAACTCTGTTTTTCAGGTTTCTCTAAAGTCCTCTTGGCTAAGAGGGGATCTGTTCAGTCAGTTTGAGGACTTAGGATTTTAGTTTTGATTTACACTATTAATATAAACATGAACCTCTAGA